GAAGTCGATCTCCATTCAGAAAAATTGAGGGGATGTAAAGACAAAGCTCACACACATTCATCTCCATAGAGCGGAAAAATGGAACTCTACTGCTTTGCATGATCACTAATTTATAGTTCTTCTTTTTTTCTAGGGTCTAGTAGGTGGCATGACTCTATCGTTGCTATATTATAGCTTCCGTGAATTACCCCTGGGCGATGCCACCACGATCATATTCAGCTCGCCGGTGATCGTCATTGCGTTGTCCTTCCTTTTCCTAAAGGAACCCTGCGGGGTCCTGCGTATAGCGGTGGTCTGCACGCTCTTGGCGGGCGTCGTCCTCGTCGCCAGACCGCCCTTCTTATTTCAGGTAATCAAAAATAGAAAAAAAAGTTAAAAAAGGAATGATTTAAATCAGATATAAATACGGATTGCAAAATTATTAATCAACAAAAATGAACTTGGCCATTAATTACCAAGGAAATTTCACGGTTACGCAAGAATATTTATTTAACATTGAATGATTTATTCAAAAACTTGATAGAAAAGAAACATTATGGTCAGATTCATTTTAAGTAAGGACCTGAAGAAAAATTCAGATCGAGTTGTTTTCGCACTTCACCCCTCGATCAATCTTTTCTATATTCCAGATGCACCGCGCCGAGAGTTACAATCTTATGGGATATCTGTGCGCCATTCTGGCCACTCTCTTCACGGCGCTCAACATCGTCGTTATGAGGAAATGCTCGGACATACATTACTCTATCCTGGTACTGAATCTGTCGTGTTGGTCGTTCGTTTCCGCGGTGTTCTTTTACTTCACGGTGTCCGGTCACGGCGCCGGTCACGAATTCCACAAATTTTGGCTGCCCCACGACTGGTACACCTGGGGTCAGATCTTGCTGGTGGCATTGACCGGCCTTACCGGTCAGGTATTGGTGACGAAGGCGTTGAAGATCGAGGGTGCCGGTAAGGTGTCGGTCACCAGATCGCTGGACATCATCCTGGCGTATGTGATCCAAGTTTACATCTTCGGCGAGAAGCCCACGTCGACCAGTTTGACCGGCGCGATTCTCATAATCTCCTCCGTCGTTTGTATGGGCTTCGAAAAGGAGATCTACGCCGTCTGCGATTTCATCCCTTAATTAATGGAACGGGATCTCGCAACTAATGCGAAAGGAAAATCAGACTGCGTTCTGTGATGAAAGCAAGTGAATCGACGATCGACGATTCCTACTTTTTTAAATAACAGACTAGTCAAAGTACTGGGATGTAAAGATAAATTAATAAACTTTAACAATAGTATTAGGATCAACGAATGTTTAATTATTCAGTTTTTTATTAGAATAAACTTCCGATGTTGAAGAGATCAATCGTAGAGCATTTACTTGTACATTGTTCTCTTCCACTTACCTTCTTAATATTTCGATCTTTAAAATAACATAACAAATTTCAATTATTGAGAATGTCGGCAATAATAATAATAATAATAATGGTAATATTAATAACAAAAATATATCAATTTTAGAATAAATATATTGCAAATATTTAGTAGTGCAGATATAGATTTAGTAATATTATATATAATAATTATAACAGAATATTATAATATATATAAACGCTGATATGCAGGTGATATAGCTGAGTAAAAATGCATGTAACTCGTATGTATGTATATATATATATATATATATATATATGTATATCGATATCTATCAATGATTTATTTAATGGGAAAGAAAGTACAACTACGATTAACAGTAAATCATTATACCATATCCAAGATAATATAATTATTTACATATATATGTTCTTCGTTCTTATTCTCATCACTGACAAATACGACGTGAACGCGCGCAAGTCCTACTCTTGCTGGAG